CTCTCTCTCTCTCTCTCTCTCTCTCTCTCTCTCCCTGTCTCCCCCTCTCTCTCTCCCTCTCTCTCTGTCTCTCTCTCTCTCCCCCCTCTCTCGTCTCCCAGCACCCTTTCGTGTCTCAGCCTCTCAGCAGGACGTTGGCGATCGAGCTGCTCGACAAATCCAACAACCCGGACCACAGCACCTACAACGACTTTGACGACGACGACCCGGAACCAGAGGTAACCTTTCACCTTCTCAGGTCTGTGAGTCACGGGGTCGACGGAGGACGATCTCGCTTCCTTTCCATCCCTCCTAATCGTGCACTTCTTTCTCCTCATTCAACCTCTGGCACATGTGACTCATCTTTCTGCTTTTGTCCTTCTTTCCTTTCCTTCATCCTCCTCTTGTCTCCTCCCTTCTTCCTCTTCCTTCTTGTAGCGCTTCCTCTTTCTCTTCTCCTTCTTTCTCCCCCTTTCTCCTGTCTCCTTGTCCCCTTCCTCTACCCCCTCCTCAGTTTAAGTACAGGGGTCATTTCCTACCCATAAGCCCCGGTGCTCGGCGTGCGCCCCGTTTCGCGGCCCGTAGGAAGGTACCAGTCTGTGGTGCCGTGATGTCGTCTCTAACACAAACCGTTCACTTCAGGGTCTGCTGGTGTTCTCATGGATCATATATCATCATCATATATAATCATCAGCATCGCTCGTCAAGATGAAGATGGCTACCAGAGTGTGACATCATCGCCTCCTTTAGAATAATGCATCTGAAACCGTTTATTTAGTGTGATTTGGTAAAACGTCACAACACTGGTTCTGATTGGTCTGAAGTCTCGGAATGTATCAAATATATTATAGTATAATAAGCAGTATATATATATATAGTATTTATTAGTATCTAATATATCTATAACAGTAGAACTTTGACATTTTTAGATCACGTGAAAAATCTCACTTCTCAAAAGTCAAAGTCAGTATATTCGAAAAATGTGGAATAATATATATATATATATATATGTATATGTGCATATCTTTGATATATAACTTAATGAGTTCATAAATACCAAATAGTTGAGTGTGCTCTGTGTAGTTAGAGAGATGCAGCCGTTGTCTTTATTTAGTCTTTGGGGACATAAATCTTCTTAAAATATAATGAAATATATAGAGATTAAAAACAGCCACCATGTGCCCAAATATAGTGTGATCAGGAATACATTCAGATTTATGCTGAGGTACACTAAGGTACCAAATACTTCCACCTAAATGAATTCAACATCTCAGGGTACAGACTGTTTAAATATGACGCTTATGGAAGCCATCTTCATCTCCCGTTTGTACTAACGTGTGTGTTATTGATGATGATCTTCATATAGAAGAGGTGGTCTCTTAGTGGATCTGTGCTACCAATGAGTCTTGGTTTGTCTCCTTCAGGAGCTTTAAAGCATGGTTTGAGGTTTGCTGTGTTGTTGTTTAGCTTCTTAAGATGAAATACTGGAGACTTGAGGTCCAGTAGAGTCTGAACACAGAGTGTGCAGCGTGCTGTGGTTTGACTTGTGAATGAGCAGTTTAATGTTTAACTAAACGGAGCTCATGCATGAACATTTAGATATTCTCATCTCATCAAGTTTAAACGCTCTGAACTTCGGATAACTGTTTAAAGCACCAGCGTAAACGTGATGAATGACGTGTGTGTAAATGAGTATTCATTCTGTAAATGAGCACAAAAAGATATATTTATTAACAGCGTCAGCAGCAGAATTAAGAGACAAGGAAGGAGGACAAATAACGAGTTATTGTTATACAACAGCATCAATTGTTCATTTAAATGAATGGTGATATCGTTAAGTTGTAGGAATACATTTAGAATTATGTCGGCCTTTAATTCAAACATAATCACAATGTTGACATAATTATTATGTGTCATTTATAAACGGGGTTTATCCATCTCAAAAATGCTTCAAAGTCATGAAATCTACAATCCTTTGGTGAAAAACAACAGCTTGGATAACAGCAGAATAACTGCACATGACTCCTAAAAGTCAAACTATAAAAATCAGTTTGTACGGTTCTTACACGAGGATCAATGTCTTCTAATTGACACGGCCTGGTTTGGACTGCAGCTCAGCTGGATGTCCCACATGGGTCACCTCCATTAACATGAGACCCGGGTCCTGCATGGCGGTCTCCCTTTTCAGGGACTCGTTGCCGTCGTTGCCAGAGAAGGTCTGTGTGTCCCTGTCGACTGCGTTGCTGTGTTTTTGGTTGTCTGGTTGCAGAGTGCTGCTGGCTGTTTTGCTGTGTCATCAGATCCCACCCACAGGAGATAGCAGAGGGATCGTGTTTCTCTGTAATCGTCTCAGGTTGAACAGCCGTCTGACTCTCTGTGTGTGTCTTTCTCCTCCTCCGATAGTCTCCGGTCTCCGTTCCTCATCGGATCCGCTCCACCAGCAGGAGCGCCAGAGAGGGAAAGACGCTGTCGGAGATTAACTGTGAGGTCACGCACAAAATCAAGCGTGAACAAATCTCACGTTGACGCAGAAAGCTCCATAACAACCCTCTGCTTTGTCTCTCCCTCAGTTGGTCAAGTGAAGTTCGACCCTCCGCTGAGGAAGGAGACGGAGCCTCACCATGAACCGGTGAGTTAATCAGCCGAGACGTATGTTTGTGTGCGTGTGTGTCCTCACCGATCCATGTTCTCAATCTGTGTTGAACCAATTCCACCAATCCCATCCACATAGATTACCTCTTCCATGTAGGGATGTCCTGATCTACGTCAGAGAGTCTTTTAGGGGTAGTGGATGACATCAGCTGATCAGGAAGCTTTCTAGCTGCACTCCTGTGGAGAGAATCAATAGCCTTGTCCCAATGAAGAGGAAACCTTTGTGAACCAGAACATGCTGGTCCCACTGGATGCTGGAGCGAAGAAGAGAGAAAGAAGAGAGTTTAGATGCATAAGGAGCGTCTAAAAACCACAGACCGTCTATAAGAAGCAGACGTAGTCGTCCTGACGTCACTCATTGGTTATCGTGTGTCGGTTGAGGCGTAGCTGAATATCACGTGTGATTTCCTATAAGCTAAAGCTGGTTCTGCTGGTGTATATCACTTTGCTGCTTGTTGAATAATGGGATGGTGCCGGTTCATTCTCCATCACAGCGTCTTGTTAAAGTCCTCCTCTCCCTCACACCTTGTTCTGTCCTTCCTTTGCACTTTGAACTCCCTCTTATGTCCTGATCCTAAATCAATCTGTCCATCAGGTTAGGGTCATGTTATGAAACGGTCGGTTCATATCCATTCACCCACTCGTCCTTGAAAGTAATACGATCACATGGGGTCTCTCTCTGTCTGCTGACTAATGTGGTTTTTGCTTCTCTAAGAGCCGTCCGTTCAGGATCACAGTGCTATATGTAGCCTTTAAAAATCAATAGTATTGTCGGATATCAATAACGTAACAGCAGCATTTTGTGGCATCTTTACACAGATGGTGTCAAGAGAACAATCAGGAACCTGGACTAAGGTCTGTGTTTCACACCAGATGAAGAGATTTTAACGATTAGTTCTCTGATATAAAATATGCCTTCTACGTGTCTTCAACGTAACACCAGTCCTCCTTTCTCTCAGTGGAGACGTGAAGTCATGTGACCGTGGTGGAGTTCCTTTATAGGCTAACGTTAGCTTCTTACTTTACACTTCAAACATCATAAAAGTGGTTTTCATATGAGAAGATTACCTTGATGAACGAAACGTTTAAGTATCGTAGACAAGATCATTTTCTGCAATAATTAAAAAGAACTACGTCATCCCTGCATCCCTCATTTGTTCACTAAAGGAGGCTATTGTTTAAGCTTCAATTAGCACCAATAATATATATTAATGCCATTTATTAATGTTTCTCCTCAGTTTTTCAGATTTTTAAACTCTCATCCAACCCCAGTTTCCTCCCTCCCTCGATCTGTTCCTCTTCTCCTCGGATTAATATTCCCTCCTTCTCCGTCTCGCTGATTCACGGACTGTCCGATGCCCATTTTTTGGCCTTAAATCCATCTTCTCTCTCTCTCTCTCTTTTGCATCAGTGTCTCCGTTCCTCCCCCGTTCCCTCCATCAGTCCAGGTTAATGTATTAACTGAGGTCTCTCTCGCTCTGTCTTGCTGACCAGTGTGAATCTGAGCCCTATCTGGACTGTGTTGAGGAGCTCTACTATACCGCGAGATCTAATCTGGTAGTACTCCTTCTATCTGTCTCTCTCTCGTCCTCTCCCTGTCTACTCTTTTTATTTTCAGTCTGTCATCATCTCTTTAACCTTATGCCTTCTTCTTCATGTCTCACTCTCCATAATATTTCTCTTTCTGAAGGACGAGTCCTTTCCTTTTTGGCTCTCTTGCTTCCTGAGCCCTTGCTGTCTCTTTTATATTTATATTATTATTTTATTCATTTTTCCAGACTGCTGATTGTTTTGGCTGCTTCTTCTGTATTTTTGTTCATCTACTCTGCTCCGTCCATCTGTTGCTGTTGCTCTTCTTCTTCTCTTCTCTACCTCTTGCCTCTCTAACTGGTGTTGTAGTTGAGTCCTTAGTGTTGTTGTTGTGTTTTCAGATACATTGGTACAATACACACATTCACACAAACAAACATTACAATCAAACTGAATCTTTTGAGTGGGATTTGTTGGTTGCACAACAGTCAAAGTTGGCTCCTCCCCCTCCCCAAATTCACTCTTGTCTCTCGCTATATTTGCGGGGGTTTTTCGGCAACGTGTCCTCCATTGTGGCTTCCTCTTGGAAGCATGCTTGCAATCTTGCACCTGCAGATTGCTACATTTTTTTTTACAGTTTGACGTCCAGAAACGTCCCGAAAACAACAACATTTAATGAAAAGAGAAAAATCCAGACAGAGTGCAGATGATTCTATACTTTTACGTATTTATTTTGTGGAAAATCTGACTTATTTTGCCTGTAAATGTGAAGTTAATGTGAAACAGACTAACACACACAGAGAGACGAGGGTCGGAGGTCAGATTCTGTTTTAGAGCTGCTGGTAGTGCTGCAGTGCCTTGCTCGAGGGACACTTTGGACACAGGCTATTCCTACTTACAACATTACCAAACACACACTGAACCTTTTAACATTCTCTGTCCTGATATTTGTTTCTCTCTACAGAACGTGTCTCTTCAGAACATCACTGCTTCTCTGTTCTCTAACCTCTTTACGTCCTCTAGTCGACCAGAGCGGCGAGGCCTCTTTCATCCGTGTGTGTGTGTGTGTGTGTGTGTGTGTTTGTTTGTTTACTGTGTGTGTGTGTGTGTGTGTGTGTGTGTGTGTGTGTGTGTGTGT